TTTTTAATATACTTGCAGAATGCCTAAAGAAAAAAAGCAGGAATAAAGTAGAAGCCTGAAGAAAAAATAAATTTTTGCGTAAATTTAGTATTTGTATTTTTTTAAATTAAAACTTTAATCTTATGATATTGTTCTTGAGATTTCAAAAAAAATATTTGACTAAAATATGAATAACATTTTAAGAACAATGTAGGATAAATTGTTAAATCATTGGGCCAATGATAAAACTGTTTAAAGCAGTGTATGCAAGTCATCTTAAGTTAAAATGTCGGTTATACATCTCTCTTATTATATATATCTTTTCTGAACGAACATTGAAAGGGTGCTTTACTGTATTTCTCTTTTAATATATGCAGTTTTCAAACGCTTCGTAGTCTGGTTGCAAAATATTCTTCCGAAAGAAAACACGATTCAAATAAATAAAATCAATTCTGGAAAATTTATATTAATAAATATATTTAAAATGCTCAGTTCAAAGAATAAATAAAATTTTGAAATAATTATCTGAAGAGACAATGCAATACAAACAATTGAAATAAAAGAATAAACATTTTAAAATTACCTAAAATAATAACTACGACAAAATATATATATAAAGAAAAGTATTTGAAAACAAAAAATGAACGCTGCACCTTTATTTACGCAGTTCGAATAGGTAAATAGAAATTTTTATAACAGTTATTCGGAAAAACCATGCAACTTAAACAATTAAAATGAAATTCGAAAAAGAAAAAAATACTTAAAATAATAACAGTTATAATTAAAAATATAATATAAAGAATATTAGAAAAGGGTTGCCACGCTACCGGGAAAACCGGAAAAAGTCAGGGAATTCGGAAATTGACCAAAAAATTCAGGGAATTTCATACAATGATCCCGCCAAAAAAGGCGAGTTTTGCACCGACGTCGGAAGAGATCACTTTTCTGGCGAATTCTGTATCAAGTGAGTGTCATTCGGGCAGCTGGCATAGAGCCAATTTTCGCAGCTCCAATTTGATTGTCTTTTTAGAAAGGCAAAGCAACTTTCCCGCAACTTTTGGTTTCCAGTAACCTCGAGAATCGCATGTGCGGTCATGAACTAAGAAAAGTACCTGTTCTCTATAAAACAAATGGTTTTAATCCTAGTATACGGTACCTAAGTTAGAATTAAAAAATATGTATTGTAAAGAAGGAAAACCTCTCTGCAACAGACGTGGCTCGGTTCCATCATAGCGGGAAACGGCTGTGCATGGCGATATATCTGTCGCCAAAGCTCGAAACCGTGTCGAAGTTCGAAGGTCATTATCAAGAGTACATAAAATGAATGTCGTTGAAATGTCTTTAAACTCTAAAGGAAAAGAAAATAGTTTGGCGCAAGTAAATTAATTCATGGTTAGTTATTTTGAGGGGGGGAAATCTACGAAAATCCGTTTTTAAATTATTGCGAAAAATCCAAGAAAAACTTCTTTGATAAAACGTTTCTTCTTGGATTTTTCGCAATAATTAAAAATGGATTTTCGTAGTTTTCTTTTTTGTCAAGAATGTTTCTTTCACACGTTATTTCTCAAGTTCCTGTACACATCACGGAGAGGGAAATTCTGGCCGTTCCGTCGTCAAATCCCTTGGCAAGTTTTCCCTCCGCTTTTTACATAGACTTTCTTCGGTCAGAATAATCTCCATGTATGGTACAGCGGGATTTGGCAACATGGATGATTAGCAGTAACGGGTCATTTTGTTCTTGTGACAATTTTCAAATCATGCAAAGGCCGTATCGTATACTAGGATTTTACCGCAAATCTTTTTTTTTTTTTTTTTTTTTTTTTTTTAATAATACCTTGTCATTTTGCAGTAAATAAAAAAATAGTAATCATCATCGAGGATACCAGGTAATATAACTATTTCGCTAAATATCATTGATTATTCTAATTAAATTTTAAGTAATTATCTTTATTTTTATGTTTCATATCATTTAATGTTGCTTCTTCCCTCTAAATTTTTTATCATTAGTAAATAATGTTTCCAAATTTCAGGAAATTTCTCTGGCATAATCCTGAAATTAATTCTAGCAGCATGATGACATCACGAAATTTAATGACATATTTTTCCTTATGTATGCTGCGAAATAATATAAAATACCTCAATTTAGTAAAAAAATATATTAAATAGATTTCTTTCTTTCGTCTTATTCCAGATTGGGCAGATTCTAATCTCAATGGAGAAAACAACTCCTATTATAATTATATTTGTGTTTTCAAGTGTTAAGATGCCTTTTAAGAATACACCTCACACAAATTAAATTTACCTAAAATCTAGCCTAACTTTTAGCATTGCGTTGTGATTTATAAGAACCGGATTAGCCTCGTGTTGAACTGGGGATGATCATGAGTAATAATTAAATAAAACGTACAGTTGTTATGCAATGTATATATCTTAAATTTTATTAAGTTTTTTAAGCGAAAAGTAAACAAATTATCAAAAAAAGTGTAGCAAGAATAATTAGAATAAATGTCCTCTGGGATTTTGAATAATTAAGTGAATTTGCCCAAGTACAAGTAATACCATAATTAATTTACCTCTTAGCACAGCCAATGTACATTACACGGATAGACTGGAATTTTCTCGAAACATACCTGGAAAAGTCAGGGAATTTCATTCTCCTGTTTAAGTGGCAACCCTGTATCAAGATATTTCGAAAAGTTGGATGCTTTTTAATATACTTGCAGAATGCCTAAAGAAAAAGAGCAAGAATAAAGTAAAATGCCTGAAGAAAAAGAGAAGAAAAAATAAATTTTTGCGTAAAATTTAGTATTAGTATTTTTTTAAAATTTAAAACCTTTTAATCTTATGATATTTGATTTTAGCGATTTCAAAAATAAAATATTTGACTAAAATATGAATAACATTTTAAGAAACCAAATGTAGGATAAAATTGTATAAAGCAATGGGCACAATGATAAAACTGTTTAAAGCAGTGTATGCAAGTCATCCTAAGTTAAAATGTCGGTTATACATCTCTCTTATTTATATAAATCTTTTCTGAACGGAACATTGAAAGGCGTGTTAAACTGTGCTTTACTGTATTTTCTCTTTTTAATATTTGCAGTTTTCAAACGCATCGTAGTCTGGGTTAGAAGGTATTCTTCCGAAAAAAAAGCGCAATTTAATAAATAAAATCAAATTCTGGAAAATTTATATTAATAAATATATTTAAAATGCTCAGTTCGAAGGAATAAATAGAAAATTTTAAAAACAATTATCTGAAGAGACAATGCAACACAAACAATTAAAATAAAAGTATAAAAATTTAAAAATTACCTAAAATAATAACTATGACAAAAATATATATAAAGAAAACTTTGAAAAAAAATAAAAACTCTGCACCTTTATTTACGCAGCTTGAATAGGTAAATAGAAATTTTTAAAACAGTTATTCGAAGAAAAATCATGCAACTTAAACAAGTTAAAAATGAAATTCAAAAAGAAAAAATTACTTAATAATAAGTTATAATTAAAAATATAATATAAAGAATATTATTTGGAAAAAAAGAAACGATAGTGACTTTTTTCCTTCTCACGGGAAAGGAAACTAGGTTGCCATATATTAAGAAGTTCGTCAAGTGAACTATTCTTGGCGCAAACTGAAAAAAAAAGTGCCAACATAAATTTGTGAATTTCTCCGTAAATTTCGCTCCAAACGTTACAAAATTTCGTATTTAAGCGTAATTTGAGTTGTAGAATCGAAATATGTAAAATTTGGTATTTTATTTCAGAAAAAGTCTGATTTTGTGTTAAAATACCTATGTTAGAATAGTGCTATATATAAATCTAATATATATCTTAAGTCGCGCTTTCGAGACATGAAGAATGCAATTTAAATTTTGTCAATCGGCCCAATAGAACGAGAGATATAGAACTGTCCCCCCCCCTTTTTTTTTTTTTTTTTTTTGAACAATGTACATGTATATGATGAAGATGTAGAAGCATTGATAGCATGAAACGTAGAAATGTAATGACAGCAAACTTGCCCGAGGCAGATTAAATGTTCATCTTTATTTCAATTGACATTTGTGGCTACAGTTCACTTAACTGTGTATTTGTGGCAAATGCATTGTTGCTAAGATTTTAGTTATTTGAAATTAAAAGCAAACATGAGTAACACACCAAAAAATCTATCAGAAGCTAATTAATTTACAGTGCAATATAAACCATATCAACAATTTTAATAGTTTTTTTTTTAATATACACTCTAAAAACTCTGTATACTCTAAAATATGTACTCTAAAAACTTGAAAAGCATTCAAAAATGTATGTAACAAAAAATAACAAACTTTCTTCACTTTAAAATGCAGTTAAGTTGTGGAAAGTATTTTTCCATTAATTATTATATGGGTTATTCTCCTTTCTCGTATTTTTTAACTCTCTTTGAATTTACAGGTAATCACAGTTTTGCCATGGTAAGTTGGGAATGGACTCTTTCCATCAATCCCATGTTTTTAACAGCTGTAAATGTGTTTTTCTTGTTGATAAACATGAGTACTTTTATTTCTTATTGAAATGTATGTATGTGTGAAAGATATTTTCTGATGCAAATCTTTTGTATTGTAGAGTGGTAGATTTTGCAACATTTTCCGACATGAAAAATGCGATCGATAAACTAGATGACACTGACTTGAGTGGTCGTCGCATTAGACTTATTGAGGATAAATCGAGGAGACGGTGAGTTACAGTGGTTTTTAATTAATTTTAAAATTAAGTCTTTCATTTAAAGTCTCCCCCAGCTTAAAACCATTCCTGAGATAAGGCAGTTGCTTTTTTCATTTGTCTGCAAAGCAGGCCTACTGTTTGCCTTTTTGATTTTGAATTTTCTATAGCTTTTCATTCCCTCCTTTTGTGGACACACTTATGAAATGTTTTAGTGTTGGAGAACAAAGGATTGCACAACAAACATGTGCTTTGAATTTTTGTGTCTAGTCTAGTATTTTAGTCTTCTCTTTTTTGATTTATCTCTAGCCAACTGGGCCTTGTATAGTAGGCATAAACTTGAGTGTGCTATAGCTGCCAAGTTTTTCTGGTAGATACAGAATCTGCGAGTTCTTATATTCCCCCTAAGGAAAATAATTCCAGCAGTAAGTGAAATGTTTTTAATTGATGAAACTTGTACGAGTAACATTTTCTGCATAATTTTGCTTATTAAATTTTATTAATTCTGAATTGTAACAATCTTCTCTAGACATCTGTAGAAATTAAATAGCCAGTGTTTAATTTTGTTTTGCAAGACTATATGGTACAATACTACGTATATCAATTATTAATTTTTTAAGTAATTTAAAAGTGCTGTGATAAACAAAATCTTTCTGCTCAAGAGTTTCACAGTGTAAAATTAAAATAATAATAATAATAATTACAGAATGAAATCAGCAAAATAATATTCTACCCCTACCAATTATATATTAACTCATCAGGAATGCAGTATAGTTTAATAATCTGAATTGTGAAGTGAGATAAAATGAATTTGGAGTCCTTTTGAAATGGTATTTCTGCACAGCATGAATCTCTTCCAGTTTCCAATTTTCCTGTAAGAACCTGCCAGGTTTTCATATTTCAGTGTTAGCAGCTATGTAATGCCCTTTGTATTGCTTTATCTGGAATTACTCTTTGTTTCCTGTACTTATTATTTCCTCCTTTATTTGACAGACATTTGAATTTTATAATTTTGAATTGTTCTTGTTTTTGAGCTCTTCTGATTTAGAATTATTTAGCTTATTATGCCCCTTCTGTGAAAATGCATCTAAGGATTCTCTCCATAGTGTTTCTTTTTCTGCTTTATGCAACATTATGCCTGGTCTAGAAAGGAATAAAGTTACTTGAGGAGCTTTTGAATTTTCGTATTTGTTCCTATTTTCAGCCCTTCTCTTTTAATTTTCAATTGCCTCTATCCTGTCCTCTGTATGAGTATTTGCCTATGAATGCCCCCGGTGTTATCTATCACCTGTATTAAATTGTTGCTGCCCAGCCATTATAGTGGTTCGTGATGCTAACTATTGGTAGATGGGCTGGGGGTTCAAATCGCAGAGAAGGCATGGATGTTTGTAAGTGCCATAGTGTCTATGTGGCAAAGGGGCACTCAAAATACATGGCAAGGTGAAAACCCTCAAGAGGTTTGAGAGATCCTTGGACTGCCTCCCAGGGTGTTCTACCTCAAAATTAGGATGGACGCTTAGCAGTTAGCTAGATTCAGCAATACCTCAATCGCTTGGGTACTACAGAGGCACTGACCTAGCTTCTACCTATACTTCCTTGCTTTCGTGCAAACAGGCTAGTAGTTAGTGACACTGAGTTCCGTACTGAAGGACACAAATTCAAATCCCACAGAAGGCGTAGGATAGTGTGTATAGTGTTTGTGCAGCACTTAAATTACATGATGAGCTGAAATCCTATTGAGAGGTTGGTGGTGAGGAAGGAGGAGGCAGATCCTTGGAACTCCAGCTGAGGGAAGCTTAGCAGCTAGCAAGGCTTGATTTTACTTAATATGCATAGATGTTGGCATTTCTACAGCCTGTACCTGTACTACCTTGTCTAGCTTTGCTCTTTACCTTTGATATCGGAAGACTCGGCACCCTCGAAACATGAATTGTTGTATTGTTCCTGGTTTTGGTACCTAATACTTACATTTTGTACTGTACCTCTGTTTTCCTTTTATGTCTTGCTCTTTTTATTTCCCTGGAGTTTTTACTCGCTGTTTCCGTCTATTTGAAACTAAAAAATTGGGAGATATTTTAAATCTTGTAGTTTATTTCTTAAGAAATTGCTGATATCAAAAAAGAAATGGTTTGTATTTGAAAACTAGTTAACTTTTGCAGATCACGATCCAGATCCAGATCGAAGAGCCACTCTCGCTCTCCCAGCAGAAGCCGGAGCAAGAGCAAAAGCCGAAGCAAGTCGCGCTCCATGTCCAAATCGAGATCTCGCTCTAAGTCTCGCTCCAAATCACGATCACATTCCAAGTCTCCCATCAAGGCCAGGTCCAGCCGTTCTCGTAGCAGGAAGCAATCTCGCAGCCGCAGTGCTAGCCAAGAAAGCCAAGGAAAGGAATCTTAATTTGTTTATTCACAGACGTGATCACTTAATCACATCTTTTGATGAAGATTTATGCTTGAGTTTAGAAAATATGTGTCACTTGTCTCTTTGAGAATTTCTCCAATATTGAAAATACTTTGGCCCCCCCTTTTTTTTTTCTTTGAATGATTTAGCTTTAATATTAATTATCAATGACAAAGCCTATATTGTTCAGTTAATGACTATTTCTGTTAATTTAGCTGGTAGCTTTTTGATAAAGATTTTTTTTCCTTCATTTATTTTTCAGCTGCATTAAGTTAATTCTCATTTGTACACTCTTATAGCATTCATTTGAAATAGCTTCTTGTTTGTGTGTTGTGTGCATAGTAAAAGCATGCATCATGGAAATTAAAAAGTATGTCTTAAAAAGCTTTAAAAAGATATTTGGCATTTTTTAGTGGGAGGAGGTTAAACTTTTTCTTTGCATGTGTTTATAATTGATACTTAAATTTCACCTTGTAATAGCAATCAAATTTTTACTTTTCTTTTTTTGTATTTTCAGTGTCTGTATTCTAAATTTTTTTCATGCAGTTATGTATATAACATCAATAAAATAAGTTCCATAGAATTTGTTTGCTTATTCGTGCCTTTTTGTAAGATTAATCAGCATTTACAGGTAGATTCCAAAGTTTCTGGCTTCGCATGTTAAAAATTATTTTGCAGTTAATTCCTCTTGCAGACTTACTGCCAACAGTAAATGAATAAATTTGAAAGTTTCATTAGAGGAAACATTTGATTTCACTTGATTGTTTACGGTATGTTCTAATTATTTATGTTAAAGTTAGGTTCTAATTTGTTCAGAAACATTTGACATTGAATAGTGTTCTGTAGTGTATTGGGGGAGGATGGTCCTAAAGAAATTAAAAGATACTTCTGTCATCATGTGTATGTTGATTTGGCTCTTTTTTGTTCTGTATTGAAAGAATGAGTAAAGCAATTTTACACAAGCTGAGAACTCTTAGGAGATAATTCTTATAAAGGTCGACCGTTGAAAGCATTGCCATAAAAAATTTTTGTCCATGTCCAGGAGATAATAATTAGTAGGAAATTTGCCAACAAGATGGCAGAAGATTGTGCTTTCTACACGACTTTTTCACATAAACAAAAAGTCTCTGCAGGATAGGTAGGTGCTCTGACTTTCAACAGTTCAAAAGCAGCAGTGTGGCCTTAACCCTCTGATTAATATGCCTTTTTGGATCTATTCATGAGGATCTATATTTAAACAACATTTATTGGCTAAATTTGCATAATTTCATGTAGTCTCTATTTTCATAAACTTCCATTCATCAAGATAATGTATACATTGAAAGCAAAGTACTTTAAATTTTTAAATTGTAAGTTAATAATAAACTAAGTAACCAAAAAAAATCATAAAGCTTTCAGATTTTACATTATGCCCAAAGGGGGCCTTTTTTAACATTTTGTGTTACCTTTATTTATTAAATATCATGTTCTTTGCACTCAAACCATAAAATTCCGTTTAATAGCAATATCGCAAAATAATTTTAAAGTTAGCATATCTTGAGAATTTCCGATACAGTCTCGTGAGCTGGAGAAAAAAATGCCTTTCCCCGTACAGTGTTGCCATTCGCCGATTTTGAAATCATTGAGTTTCTTAATCAAAAATTCTTTAATGTCTGACAAAATATGAAATAGATAATACAGTCAAAAATCGTTAATCCGGACTCGTCGGGACTTCGGCGATTCCTGATTATCGATTTTTCCGGATTATAGATCATCAGTTTAAATCTCATAAGATGGCATGCAGAAATTCTAAAATTAAAATTCGCTATCGGAAGCGAATTATAATGACGAGGAACTTGTTTTAAATCATATCAAAGACGGAGCATGCATCAAGATGAAATACTACATTTAGTTAGCAATTATAGCCAAATAAAATAAAAACTGATCTTCAATATAAGCCAAATAAAATAAAAACCTGCCCTGAAGATAAGGATAGTGATGAGAGATCAACTTCCAAATCATTACGTGCGCCGAGGCATTCCCCCCGCCGAACTGCGTGAAATTGATAAACAGATTTCGGATTTCGAAACATACATTCGCTTTAGATCCTTTACATATTAGCAAATATATATCGGATATTCTATTTGATATAATCGAAAGTTTAAGCTTACTTTTATAAAATTGCTCTTACAGTCTGCAAAAAATAATAAGCCGGCTCCAATTCGAAAATTAAGGAACAACGCAATTCATTAACTGAAATAGATAATTTTAGCTTATACGTCCATTATACATAAAACGCGCACGCGAAAATGTATTCTGCATTTGCGCACACTCATATGCGCAGTCGTAAAAGGTCTTACACGCACGCGTAAATGCCTATGCGCATGTGTCAACGTGGCGCATGCGCAGAAAGTTTTGAGGTTTTGAGTCCGGATTATAGATCATTCCGAATTATGGGTGTCCGAATTAACGACTTTTGACTGTAAAACAAATTCCAAGTTAGGGCCTCCGAGATGCTCATACTTGGTGGAGGCTCGCATTGTTCAAAATTTGATGGCTCTAGGTACGGTTGTTTTATCACAATGTGAGAAACATATATGCATTTATGTAAATTCTTCATTATTTAATTTCCTTAAATGTAATGCAGGACTGTAATATTTGGTGGTAACAGTTTGAAAAGTGAATAAAAGCAGAAAGTGAATTAATAATATCAAATTAATAGCTCTTCTGGGCTAAAAACTCATAAAAGCTAATCGTGCCACTTGAATCTTTCTTTGGGAAACAGAAACTTGAATCGCTCTTTCCCAAATTTAAGTTTTAAGTGCTTATTGTTTGTTTTCTCATAAAATCTGATTTTTGAGGAACAATTTAATGATGACAGCATGGATAAAGTTATTGGAGAGCACTTTGAGGGCAACTTTCACGTTACTTATTCTAGGGTGTAGAATTTTTCATTAAATAATGTGATAATTGTAATGAGGTGCAAGAGAATGATACTGAAAAGTAAATTATCTAATGCTTCTAGGTGTATTGAAACAAAAATTTTAATCTCCAACATTATATTATTTATGTTTAAAATTTAAGTGTAATGTTTGCATGTCGTATTTCTGAAGCAAACAACTGAAGTATTTGCACTTAAATCACAAATTCTTGTTTTTCTACAAAATATGTTTAAAAAGAGTATTTTTTGCTGAGTTTCATTTCCTATAAAAATATATTAACAAGAACAAATATGTATATAACATGTAATACTGTCAGTTTTTATGTGATTATCCTTCAGACCAAAATTTCAAGAATTTTGTCACTGTCATGTCCTTAGTTTTTCTTTCCGAAATATTTCAACTGTTAATTTCGGTGTATTATCTATACCAGAGTTGGCAAAACTTCATGTCAGTAAGAGCCACACGTTTGAATTCAGGAATGTTTGAGAGCCGCATCTAAATTTTCTAAAAGAAACAAGTTCATATTTACATCATTATGGAAGTAGTGGAGGAGGTTTTAAATAGAAAGAAATCACTGATAACTTTGTAACTAGTTAATTACTTCCTTTTGGAAACTGAATAGTTTAAGCTTACCATATTTCATAAATATATTTTATATGCATGAGCCGCGCAAATTGCCTGCGAGAGCAGTATTATGTTCACAAGCCGCACTTTGGCCACCCCTGATCTATACTATTAAAATCTGTGCACGTCTGTCTGTGGCATTATCTTCTCTCAAAAGACTGAGTTGAGCTTCGAGAGAAAGTACCCATAAATACTAAAAATTCGTGGGAAGCCATTTAATTAGCCAAGATATTAATTAAAAACTCTTAAAGATACCAATTTTCGCCCTCATTTTTTTAAGTGGCAACAGTCTTGCACTCTGAAGATAAAAATCTGCTTTGTTTCGTTGCCCTGCTCACTTTCAAATCGTATATTTTGTTAATAAACAATTTCTAAGTTTTACAAACTATGAAATAAAAGTAGCAATTGACAAACATTAAATATATTATTCCCGATTCCAAAAATTTGTGGGGAACCATTTTGTCTGTTTGAACTGTTGTGGGGAATCATTTTGACTGTTTTGTACGAGTTTAATCAGCCAAGATATTAATTAAAAACTCTGAAAACTCTAATTTTCGCACTCATTTTTCTGATTGCCAACAGTCTTGCATATTAGAAATAAAAATGCTTCATTTCAAAAAGTTACTAAGGCTTGCATTCAAATTGTAGTATTTGTTAATAAAAAAAATTGTAAGTTTTACAAGATATGAAATAAAAATAGCATTGCCAGACTTTAAACATATCATTATATAAGGTCATATTCTGATGTTGAAGGAAAGCATGTGACATTGTTGTATATTGAGAATTTTTCATTTATGTCAGCATTTTAAATAAATAGCTGCTGTTTGCAACTTTCTTGTTTCAAGCTAGTATAATTGACGCGATATATTAATACCATATTAATTCTTTTATTAATATTGAGAAAAATGTCATTACAATAAATTTAAATTATGACATCATACAAATTAACCTGAAGTGTCAAAAGTTTTTGTTTCCTATTTTAGCAGTAAAAAAATTATTTACAAATTGGTTGTTGCTTAGAAAGAATGAACTGATTTCATTCATGCTGAAATGTATGTATGTATACATTTGCTTTTCAGAGAAGTACATAAAACTTCTAAATTTTACTTTGGTTGCAGCCCGCTTATCTGGTGGGCTTTTTCCCCTAGTATAAAGTTACTATTTGTGTATCATCTATTCACTTTGGCAGTTGTTGCCATTACATGAAACATTTTTAACTTCCATATGGCCTTGCACACATAGTTCTGTGGACAAAGCATAATTCCAGGGACTTCACCTTCTACTGTTATTTAATTTCTTTAAATATAATACAGGCGATTATATTTGGTGGCAACAATTTGAAAAGTGAACCGGACATTTATCGTGAACCAACACAAAATGTCGAAACGAAAATAATTGTCCCTTTGGGCTAATAATGAAGAATTGATTTATTTCTTTTAAGTCACCCAGTTTATTAATTCGTACGACAGATTAGAACCAAAAGATTTGTTAAATAATCATGGTGTGCTGAATGGCAGCAGAATGCCACATGGAGGATTAAAGTCTTTTAGACAAGGTATTGGCGTTTCCAGCTGAGGATCCCTTCTGATGATGAATAGTTATGCCCTCTGATTCTGAAAGTAGTCTGTTGAAGTGCAAGGAAAAATTGTATTTCCATAAAAAGTCCAATTTGAGCATGCAGGGACCTGTATTCTTTGCCACATATGCTGTGTGATGGTAGGTGGCACTTCCAAATGTGATGTTCACGTTTAACTTCACATCTATGTTGATTTTATCACCAGATGCTGTTTGAAGAGCAACACAGGATGTTGTCCAAATGAGTTTATCTTTAAACTATTGAGCTAAATCTTTATGAATGCTGGTAACATTAGCTCTTCTCTCAATGATCATATTGCAAGGAACTCCATTGATATGCCCATTGATGAATACTCCATTACTGTTGCCACTCACTGCAGATATCTTGAAGGCTTTAAAATGGGATTTTTCACTAGTCTTCAAATTCTGCTCCGCAATATGGTTTCCTGCATCGTTGCTGGGA